AACATTAAGCTGATATACGAAATTTTATATAAGTGATTAAAACATTATCAATATCGAATTTGACTTTCTAAAGGGTATACAAGCTGTTTCACCCATCACTCGAATGACTTGAGTTTTGTGATCTCCCACCACTCAAATGACTTGAGTTTTGTGATCCGCACGTCATACCTGATTGGTCATGCCTAAACTAAGTGGAAATGTTATTTCCACTTGGTGGACAAGAAAAAATTCTGCATATGATTAAGAATATAACCAACCATTCATGAATTAAACGGTTTCTCATGCATTAAAAAGATAACATGAGAATGTTAGTATCCTTGATGAGAAACGTTATAATGCTAAACTCAAGCTTGCACGAAGGCGAACTTATAAGTATTATCGATACTTTACGATTGCTGAAAGTCGAAAAATGCCACGATTTGAATTTAAATTTGGTGATTTGCTTATTAAATGAAGAATTAGGACAGAAGAGGTGGTGTTGCATATTCTCCAACTTCTCCAATAGAAAAGAATGTGGTATAGCAAAAAGAAAGTTTACTTGGACACTTTCAGACAATTTGATTCACAAGAATAGACAGTAATCTCTGATGAACCACATCTGCCATACCCATACCCCATATTAATATTTGGGGAATCGAAAATTTTAACCCCGAAAACATTGTTGTGACGTAAACGTTCACTTCTTGCAGTATGTCCCCATTTGGCATTTCCAATTTACAACCTATTTACTCAGAATTTAAGCGTCAGATCGAAAGTCATAGAACAGTAGAGGGCAAGAAGTCGGCTTTTTCATTGAACAATACTTTCTACGCGTCTTAAACGAATGAAGACAATCTTTGACGCGAAATAATGACATCAAATAATAGCCAAGACAGCTCGCAACAGAACAGAAGTTCTATTGAGAAATTGCGAGTCTTGAATAAAGCCAAAGATCAGCTTGAACGACTTTTAAGTGTTGCCGCGAGACACATTCTAGCTACGAACATCGGCCAGCCGACAGCAAACATAGATGCTCAGTGGATAAACGAACACGGTAAGTGGAATGACCTGACAACAAAGATGACAAGGATCGGCTGCTCCCCATTTACCACTCAGCTTCCAAGAAGGCTAGTAGATGCAGATGTAGGCAAACATTCTGGAAAGGTCTTGGTTTCCCAACAAACTTCATCGACAAATAATCCACAGGGTAATACCGGAATGCGCAAGAACTTTGCCAAAAAATCAATGATACCAAAGCCTGATGAGTTAGAAGATAGCAAAGAACCGAAGTTTTTTGCAAAGAAATCCATGATACCAAAAGAAACACTTGATTCAACTCAAGCAGAATCATCCTTTTCTGGATCTATGGGAACGCCAAAACTAGTGAGCGTCGAGATAGACGAAAATAACAATTTAACGCGAGAAACTCGAGGGCAGCAACTTCATATGGGCAATACTCGAAAGCCAAGAGCCCCGGTGACACCGATGTATGCTACATATACTGTACAGGATTGGAATCCGGTTAATTACGAATTTATTACTGAGTCACCGGAACAGTTTATTACTGAGCAAACTGTACGCAAACCAAGTAAACCACCTTCAATAACTAGATACATAGAAGAGCCAAAAAAGGTGTGGACTCCGTCAGTACGCACGAGCTTGCCTGAACATGCAGATCATAACGGCTCTTCTTCATTCACAAACGAGCATACAACGCCTAATGACACTATTGTTCAAAGCAGTCTGGCAGGTATAGCTGCGGCCAATGATTCTAATCAACTTCCACTTGCCACTGATTTGTTATGTGAAAGTCCGTCGGAAAAAAGGAAACGAGACGAAGAAGAAGAAGATGATGATGATGGTGATGATGATCCGGATTCGTTAGATAATAGTAAGCGACTTAAGATGGATTGGCGCGAGTTGGCACCAAACTATATAGAAATAATAGATGAGGCTGATAGTGATGGTGTGAAAAAAGACGATAAACACGATGCTGATGACGATGTCGACGGCAACGACAATAATGATAGTGTTAATGTTAATGAAGGTCATGGTAATGATAATGATGGAGGCGATGATAATGACAATGCTCATAATAGTGATAATGATAATGATGGTGGTGTTGATGATGGTGATGGTGATGGTGATGATGGTGATGATAATTATAATCATAATGATATTAATGCGAGGAAAGAGCACGAGATATGTTCTTTAGAAGTCATTGACTCATTGAGGGATCATTCTACTAATAATGAGCTGCCTGAGAGATCTACTCTCCCACAGAAATTGTCACCCTGTAAGGATACGGACCTAAGGGAAGTGGATGCGCTTGTCGTCGACGAAGATAGCCAAACGGAAATTGGAAGTCAAGACGCTGAGGACAGTCATAGATTAACTGGTGATAATTGCGACTATCAAGGGAGGAACGCGATGAGTGAAGATGGTCATAGTGACAGAAATGATGATGATCATGATAGTGAGGTTACCAGTTTGGGAGAAAGCGAAGATATGGGAGTGGACGTTGATTCAACATTAGTGGTAAGCCATTGTTCTGTTTAGGTATTGTGAAAATTCTTTGGAAGGGGATTTCTGATAATGTCCCTACTAGTAAACTTGTTTTTAGTCTAGCTCCATGGTTTAGTATTTGAGTTGGCTGTTTAATCTATAATATACTTACAAAAATGGTTGCATGTCTATACGCATATTTCTTGTCTGTATTTTAGTCCTCTCGTACAGCTTGCGAAGGTACATGTTTTACGTGGAATTCAATAACATAAATGAATGTTGTTGGCATCTAATGCATTTTTGATCTTGTTAAGATGATTATTTTGCTGAAGATATTGAAGAAATGATTAAAATGGAATTAAAGGCTACTCAGCAAGAAATGGAAGAGCGCATTCGATTGGTAGGTACAAAACGTCTGTTTAGACGAGAATAAAAGATCACCAATCAATTATGTATTTACATTTTCCTAGAGATATGAACGGATTTTTGAAAAACCAGACAATAAATTTGCAAGAGAAAAAATCACAGATAGGGGTACGTTTCTGTTTGAAGTATTTTCTTTGTATCGAGTTAGGGCGATTCGAGAATAGTTATTTGACGATCGTCATTTGTGCGCCGAAATACTAACAATAATGAACATAAGATATTTCAGGTGATACAGTGCAGAAGACGTTATTAAGAAGAGAATTACGTGGTATATCGTCTTGTGCTCAAGCACGTCTTGGAATACAAAGTCTATTTCAAACATTAAAATTAGCTTTAGTGTTTCACGAAGCAAGTGGAAGTGTAGTCGACATTGCATTCTGTGAAGCTGAACGGTTAGTTTCATAAATAATCGCTTGTTACGAATCATGGTTTTGAATTTGGTTATTTATTAGGGACTGGATAATTATATATACTTTTGTTTAGATGAAATGTTAGTCTCTGACAATAATATGTTTGTTTTGTTTTGTTCTTATGCATCGAATTAATGTGTTGCATTAGCTTATTTTCATCGCAGCGATCAATTTAGTCTCACCTTTTGCCATAACTTTTTTCGATTCTGCTTGTCACAATATTCTATGTCTATCTGTGTGTCTCGTCGCTGCCGTTTAATTAATTTGACTCACGTTTATCTATTTTACATCCCGCATAGTAAAACTCGTGTTGCAATTTGCTGCGCGACAAATGATAATCCAGATTATAACACTGAAGGCAACCTGAAATTTTACGATCCGACATCGAGTACCTTGTGTCATTTCCTTGGTCATCATTCGAAATCTCGGGCTGGTGTTGCTTGTTTTGATACGGTAACTGATGCCAAATTCTCGCCTGATGGAAGAGTATTGTTGGCTGCAGATGACAAAGGGCAGTGCATACTATGGGATACATCCTGTGGAAAGTCAACTGGCCATCTACATGGAAGCGATAGTAAGTTTTGCGTAGGTGTAAATTAATGGTGAGAACAATAAAGCTGATTAAGTCTTCGTTCTGTTGCGATTCTAACTTTATCATAGATTGTCGTGATATAATCAATCGTGTTGCTGTGCGTGCAACCCCCATCTCAACCCACTACCAATTTGCCTCTTGTCTATCATCGGGCAACGTCAATCTTTTTGACGTTACCCCTAAACGTAATTCTTACAGTCTTCAATGTCGAACCAGTTATGACGAGAAAGACAACCGCGTGGCAAGTGACATCCTATTTGGCCGCCATCGGTGCGCCGATACTATAATTGTGGGATATAATGGTAAAGGAAATAAGGGTGGCGGAGTAGTGAGGGTGTGGAATATTGAGCGAAGAAAGGTAATGAAGCAGTTCACAAAAGCACAGAGAAGTGTTTCTTGTATTGCTGTAGCTCGTTCAGGGTCATTCGGAGTGTGTGGAACAAGTGGGGCTAATGCCAAAGAAGTAGGGGATGGTAGAATATGGCTATACGATTTGCCAGATAGTGATCCCATCGCCTCAGCTGCGACTACCGAAAAAGATGCGACTTTAGTCTCAATCAGTCCTAATGAGAGTTATGTTGCGGTCGGTGGTGCTAACAATATAGTGGAAGTATATGACACTCGTTTCTTTGACCGAGTTCTCGCTACTCTACCTCATGTAAAATCGCCCATAGATGGCGGTGACGGTATAGAGGCCATTCAGTGGCCTAGTGGACACATGATATTATCTGGAGGTGAAGACGGTGTGAGAATATGGGACCTGGCCAAGTCAGGCCCGGAAATGTCTGTGAAGAGTTTTGAGTGCTTTGATGGGAATGTGGGAGCAGTCGCATTGTCCGAGAATATGGATTTCATGTGTGTTGGCTGTAGTACTGGGAGGGTATATGTTTTCACGGTTGATGAGGAGAAAGCTACAAAGATGCGAGAAAGATTTTCAATAATAAGTAGGTGACAAGTACTTGAAGTCAATGCCCGATTACTTTGGCTGCGAACAATGAATAAACTGCAGATTGTGATTGTCTAAACAAAGTCAAGTGCTTATTTATTAATCAGGATAGCAATAAAACGATGTGTACATGACACGACTTGACCTCAAAGTTTCAGGGAACCATTTCGTGCATATAAGTTTATCAATAGACTATGTCTCCCTCAACGACTGGCCAACGATTGAGCTAGACAAAAATAATCACATCCTTTATTGGTATCATGAACTATATTATTTACGAGGAGACGGCTCTGGAAGGAAACATACTCGTCGAACATCACGTTAATGAAAATATGATGCATAATTACACAAAATATTCGAGAGGTACGACATTACGCTATATTGCATCGCTGCTTTATATCAATCCAATGGGTTTCACGGAGATACGACTGTATTGGCTGTCATGGTAAAATATATACGCAAATTCCATAAGATGAAATGACCGATGAACAAACATAAGTGATCATTTGTTTCTTACTTGTAATCTTTATCCACTACAACGTATGTGTCGGACAGACTATTCGCTCCCAGCATCCTCACAAAGTTTTTGTTGTGAGTGACAATTATGAGCTGGAAATTTGGGCGCTCGTAACGACGATCCCTGATGATGCTTAATACAAGAAAATAATCCATCTTTAGCCTATTACGAGACTTGATTCGATGTACTAAATCAAATACATACGTTCCCAGACTTGTTGCTAAACTTTCGGTATTTTCAACATCAAGGTTTGCCGTTGGTTCATCAAGAACCAACGCTCCACAGTGTCCTGCAAAAGCCTCGGCAAGTGCCAATCGTATGATAATTGAAGCTAGTGCCCTCTGCCCAGCACTACTGCCTTCCTTCATACTGATTTCGACAGAACCCTTCACTTTTGATACCTGTAAAATTAATCTTCAAAATGAATAAAGACTATACTGTACGCATATAGTGTATTATTGATTACGTACTCTGTAGTTAAATGAGCGTGCTGCTTTCCCCTCAGCATCTGCTTTTATTGCAATAAAGTCGATGTCTGCAAGAATAAAAACAAAAAAGAAATAGTAACTTTTTTAATCGAGATGCCGCCATCTATTATTTGATTTCTTCTCACCGTCGCCTCTGTAAGTCTTTCTCCACAAGTCAGCAATGACTTTATTTATTCGGTCCATTTGTTTGGCGTGCGCAGTCAATAACCCTCTAGAAGAGTGATCAAGTAGTCAGTATGGTATCAAAGCATCACATAACAAAGATTTCTCCATAAGGTATATTTACGTTTCTAATTCTGTCTTTAATCTCTTCAAGTCTTCAAGTCTAGTCTTAATAATCTATATTGACGGTTGAGTAATATTTTATTGGCATGTATTCGTAAAAAACAAAGGGATAAAATGCTTGACGTACAATATCTTCAATTTTGGCCGCTTTATAGTTTTCATCAGTATTCATATATCTACTCCTGATGTCATCTTGAGTCTGAGCTATGTTCTCCGTGTTTGCTTGTAATATCCCCGCATTTTTTGAGCGCTAGAATAGAAGAATAAGATATATTCGGTTATAAATATATATGGTAAGATATAGTCGGTCAAATTTGCTTTTACCTCTTTCATATAGTTATCTCGGATAGTTTTTAAATCTCTATACGGATCGGTACTATCTCCAAATTGATTGCGAATTTCATTGCGGATATCGTCAAGTTGATTATTGGTCGTTTCCAACTCGCGCAGAGTTTTTCTAAGCTCAATGTTCCTTTCTATGTTAATCTTGTGCTTGGAAACCTGTACAAACTGGCTCTCAAAAAAATCGATTTCATGCTGAACAGTTCGTTCGTCGGCCGATTTCTGCTCGGAATGTAATTGGACATCTTTAATTCTTGTTTCCAGTTCTTTCATTTGCTGTTCACCGTTCTCGTGTTGAAAACTATAAATTTGTAGCGTTGATGTAGCTGTATACGCTGCCAAAATGTGTAATATCTTAGAAATTATGGAGCATACTTTACCGTTCGTATTCATGCTCTGCAGCAATAAGCTTTTCCAAACAAGTATTTATTTGCTGGAGCATTTTATTGTAGTTTTCCTCCTTTGACTTTGTTTTCTCTCTAAAAGCGTTTGCCTCTTGATTTAATTTCCTTTCCTGTTCTTCAAGCTGCACAATTTGCTTGTCTACTTCCTAATAATGAAATAAGTACATACATGAAGAAGCACAACTATAAAATTAAACATGCTAAACTGAACATTACATACAAACCTCTTTCTCGCGTTGGGCTCTCTTACTCGACGCTTCTGCCTCTTCTGCAAGGGTCATCTTCTCGGTAGCATCTTTTAAATATCTCTCTCTCTCTGTGATTTGATCTTGAAGATTTTGACAAACCTTTGTATATTGTGACACTTGTTGCATTTTCGTAATTTTCATCTTTTGGACCTTATCCTTTTCGTCTTGAATTTTGTTAATTTCTTGTTCAATGTCCTGTAGTTCGCTTGTTGTTCTCACAGGATCTGATGCCGAACCAGAATCTGCAAGATTTACTTCACTTGCCACTATTTCTTTACTCAGCTGCTCTACTTCTGCCTCCAGCCCGAGCATGTTTTCTGCTGTCTTCTTTAAGTTTGAAAGATCTTCCAAGTTATTCAAGTCTGTATGTAGACTCTGAATTTCACATTTTAATTGAGAGATGTTTGTCTCAAGATCATCCAAGTTATACTCGGACTGAAACTCTTCCTCTTCTCTCTGCAATCGCTCATCCCACTGAGTTAATGATTGAAGTTCCCGTAATCTCTCTGTATGTCGCTCAAGAATGGCCTTATTCTCAATGAATGCTGGCGCCTCTTCAGCTGACCTAAATTCTTTTATTCTTTTCATGAACTCTTTCTCGCTTTCACCACCGTCTAATGGTCGCATGCAACCAAAGCATTTACGTTGATTATCAAAAATCTCCAAAGCCTTATCGGCGAATACGGCCACTGCGCCGATAAGCCGGAGTGTATCCCGGGCACTATTGATTTTTCGTTCTGATTCTAGTATAGCCTCACCAAGAAACATATCACCAGCAAGATTAGATAGCGTCCTTTGGAACTCCTGACGATGCTTCCTAACTTGAGCCTCTGCTGCCTTAGCAAGTTGACGGCGCATTTCTAAATCTTCCAACTTTTTCTCTTTCTCGAGAAGATCACGTTGTATCGTATCTTGCCCTTCCATTTTCGCGTTGATATCACCAATAAGCGTGCTCTCGCTATACATTCCTCCTTGAACTTCTCGGAATTCTTCTTTGTAGTCGTTACGAAGACGGTCCGCTTTTGCGGCCTTTTGGTCTCTTTCATCACGAAGCCTGCTGATTCTGTTAAAAAATTCCATCTCGCTGTGCATCTTACTCAACCGCGCGCGGCGATCTTGCGCAGCAGATCTAAGCTCATTTAAAGTGTCGGTTTGATCGTCTTTATCGCTAGTTGTGACTAATTCCTTGAGAGCCTTTTCTGCATGGTCAAGGTCTTCTTTCTCCTTTTCTAGTTTCTTACGCAATGAAGCAAGCTCATCTGCCAGTTCTTGGTGCTTCCTGTTATACACTCTACGATTGTTGATATGCTGACGATACTTGTCTATCTCATTCACAAAGTTGGTGCGACGGAACTTGGCATTATTCAATCCCGTAAACAGTTCGCGGAGTTCGCGTCCAAAATATTGCTCACGCTGATGAGCTTCCGCCTTTAGCTGTTTGAAGAAGACTTCAATTTGATTTTTCCTTTTAACTAATTCACCCTTTTGCTGGGAAATAAGCGTTGGAGACTTGAAAGCATCTGTAAAAATCTGAACAGAATCTCTTAAGGAATGCGCTTCGTCCCTGAAAGCCTGTTCGAATTCCGCAATTCTTTGTTTATGGTTTTCGATGTTCATAGAATGTCTGGTCATTTGTTTTTCCATTTCCATTATCTGATTTTCGTAATGCTGCTTTTCGTTACGTATACGCCCTACATTTGCCTTGAGTTCTTCACGACGCATTTCGCGCTTATCAATCTCCTCATTGTAACGAACGAATTCCATTTCAAGCTCCTCATCGGATGCTAACAATAGAAACTTTTATAAACCGTCTCATGGTCCCTGTGTGTATCAGAAAGATGACAGACCGTTACCTTGTAACGCATTCGTATGCTCTCTGAGGCTGCTGACAGCCTTTTCAAGCATAATCTTGTCATGCTCTTTTTCTTTAAAAGTATCTCGGAGATTCTCCAGAGTAGCGATTTGTGTCTCGACTTGCTCGATACGTTGATCAAGATCAGCGGAAATTTGCTCACATCTGGCTTTTTCCGCTTGATACCCTCGTAACCTTTGCCTAGTCTAAGAATAACATGTGAGATGTGATACTTAATATGCCAATTTAACCATGAGTTAGTCCATTTTACCTGTTCGGCCGTGTCTTTCTCAGTCCTTAGATACTGTAATTGTGTGTGAGTCACTTTTTGCCTCTCGAGTAGTTTTTTCTCTGGAACATTAAAAGTATCTAGCGTTGCTTTCCACCTGTAATCCAAAGTAGTTAAAATAATTGAATAAGGATCTAGAACAAGGATCATTCGCAGCGATATAAAACTCACCCGTCCAAACCAAAAATTTCATCAAATCTTTTTTTCAGAGTTGCAGGATCCGCCAGGGGCCTTTCCACGTTAAGAATATAGCAATCGTTTTCATCGATCATGAATAAGAACACGATCAACATATCCAAAGTCTTACCAATTCGAATCTTCCTGTATACAAAAGATAACACTCTCGAGAATTGTTTTTGGAACTCCAAGAAGCATTCTCACTTTAAGATCCAAATCACTACATTTCATTGTCACGCTTCTTTGCTATAAAGATGACATCGTAGTAAGTAATGAAAAGACGGTTAACAGGGTATAAAAGGCCGAGTATAGTTTACTATCGGTTTACCTCGCCGTCTGACTTGTGAATGGCAAACACACCATCAACCGATTTCTGTGATATAGTAGAAGTTCCTTTGCCCTTTCCAGTAGCAGCGCCACTCAAAGACCGACAACATAGATACTTGTTATCTTTTTCGTCTTTGAACAGCAGACGAACTTGCGCCTTAACTTCAGATCGATGTAACATCTGATTTTCCGTGTTAGATAACCCCGAAAGAAAAACAACAACAGTTATTAAAAGAGTACTTTGAATAGTATATGCTAGATTGTCTTCTCACGTGACATACTCTTGGATCATGGACGAAAGTACCGCCTGGAAGTTTTCCCGTAGTTACATATCGTAAACATTCGACGATAGTCTACGTAACAAACATTATAGTCAGCTGTGACAAGAAACATTGTTTGATATGTTTGTTTACTTGCTGACAAAGGTTCTTACAGTCTTTCCGGCACCATTATGTCCAACAATAACAGTCAATGGCGGGTTGAGTTCAATTAATTCTGGACTATCTGGATGGAATGAGCGTATTCCTTGTATTTGTATACCGCAGAATGTAGTCATGTTTCGTTAAGGTTTAAGCGCGCGACCTGTGCCACACGTTTTGTTATTATCTTTTATCACGGGATATCGTGTAACTTACGTATACAATTCCAAAATAAAAAATAAAAACTCTTACACTTTGGAAATCACGAGTTTCCAGCCCAGTACAAAGACGATGACTACATCGGGATATATTATAGCAGCACAGTTATAAAATTAGAATGTTGTTATTTGATGAACAGGATTATATGCAATAGGAACTTGCGAGAAGATCGTACGCTTCGATCTCACGGTATACAACAGCAGGCTGTGTGTAATACCATCTTTTTATACAGACAAGGCGCCTCCCGTGGTATCAAACATACAAGTCCCCAACAAGTAGGCCGTGCAAATAACAGGGTGGTGTGTCAAGACATGCAATATAGCGTACTACTCCGCGTGTGGGATTTCCCTAAACTGCAGTCCCTTAATTGTTGATTGTGCATGTGGGGAGATTGCGGAGTATTAAGCGCGTGCGTCATTGTTTTGAGTTTGTTCTACTCGGATGTTAATGCTAAGGTTTTATTATTTACCCTTGAACTTGGCTTCGTTGCACCCCTTATTATTATCATTGTTTCTGTACGCTTGTACATATATTTACATACCAATAAACTTTCTGTAACTAATTGTGTTGCTCAGATTCCGCCAATCTTGTAATCCTCGATTCCAAAGGATGCTTTTTTTTTCTTTTTTTTCATAGGGGCTAATATGTGTGTAGCAGTAGTGTACCTAGTAGTGTGCTGTTGATTGCGTATTGTTATTGTTGTCATTGAAAAATCTTTCTTTTCGAACAAATAAAACACAAACATGTTATTTTGTGGGGTGCATATAACAATGACAATGATATTAGTTTGGGGAACACAAATTGCGATTGGAACATCGTGTGAATGAAAAGGGTTAAAGTTAATCCCCAACAGATAATAGCTCGTATTGTTCTTTAGATCAATTAATTGTAATTGTAATTACTATTCTCATTATCGGTAATGGCATAGAAGAAATCGGAATATACGTTGTTGAAAGTTAATATTGATCTGTAACGTCTCCCTATCATGCATGGGAATATTGGATCAGATCAAGAATACGGCAAGATAATACAAGCGTTAGTTCTTTGACATTCTGCAATTACCTTGGCACTCGAACGATATCTCCCTATTTTACTTATGTAGCAATAATGGATTTAAGTGCGAGTTACTTAATTTGTTTCTTTCCGAGGTTTACTATTGCAGTATTGAATCTCCGAATAGAAACCGCTCATGCTTTCGAATTCGTTAATCGCCTCTTGACTGCACAGTCACATACGTTTATTGCAACAAGGAATGTTCACCAAAAACGCATTCCCCTTTGGAGAGCTATGCAAGCACGTCATATTCTTTCTGTCACGATATTGTCTCAATACATCGACACGCTGACAAAAAAAAAAGTACGCAGACCGCGACGTCTACCCATACAAAAGCTAAGCATTGGACTGATGTTTTAAAAAAAAGCATGGCTTATTGAAAGCAAAGATAATTATTTGTCATCTCAAACTTTCTTTTTTCTTTTCTTTTTCTGGTTCACATTAAGCCCGCGTTAATCCTAGTTAATTCATTTTCTTCTCGATGTAATTTTTTGGTTCCATAGAAGATTTGATGTAAATATTTTGGTATATACATAAATCCTATATTAAATACATAGGTAGTGCATAAGCTACAGCCGTGTCATTAAAGCCCTTCTGCTACACCCGTCCTTTAGTAAATACAAGCGTGGGAACAATTGAAACTTGTTTGAACTACGTTCAACAGTGTCTTTCCAGAATATCTTTCATATTAATATATTACCCATGGACTCTATTAATTAATAATTAGTGAATCTACTATTAAAAGCCAATTCTAGCCCTTACTACTTGGTAATCCCAATTGGTTATTCAAGTATTGTCTAATATCACGCCATCACCGGTTAGATGACAAGAGACATGTAATTGGTTAAAAGATACGGGAAAAAAATGGTTGCATGAGATTTCAAACACTCGCCGAATATCTATTATATATTATAATATTGTAGGACATCTCATTGTTCGCATTAGTTCTCTCAGATAATAACACATCCGCTAAAACATTAGATCTGCTTATTGGTTATGCCGTGCAGACTTTTAAATACCTAAACCTTATATAGAAGTCTCTTGCAATGGCAGTCTTCAGGGCTGGGGCTGGGCTGGGCTGGGGCTGGTCATGTTTGAGCTTGGAAGACAAAGGAAAAGGATCACAAATCGGATTTTAATTCGAGTGTAGCGGTCTAAGCATTTGCAGGCAACCAAAAATCATTGTGAGTGTGTATAATCGAACGAGTACGAAAACTGGTTACTACCCCAGTATAGGTTGGTATAGGTTGCTTGTCCCATTTAGTTAATACCAAGAGCTTTGTCAATTGACATATTGGTTTTGTATGATGATCACAGTGAAACAACTTAAGACAAACCTTTGACCTTGATGTGATCTCACATCGCAACTTTAATTTTAAGGTTTGCTGGGCATTGGATGAGGCATATTATAATTTTCATTCACGCAATTTAAGTGTGGGTAACATTTTTTTGTTTATGCGGGGTGCATCAATAGGATTCGTAATACGCGAAGCACAGTCTAACCGGTTTGCTCACCTGTCTTGGGTTTGTTTCACGTTCTCATACCAAGTCCTCTCTCCCCATCTATTTGGTGCGAGCGATATTGCCTGAGTGGGTGGCCTGATTTAATGATGGTGTACAATGTTACATCAAAACACAAATGCATTCTAGATTTGTCAGCTGAGCGCAAATAATTTGTTAAAACTCGCTCAGCTGAATGCTGGATATTGTTCTCACATCGTATGAGGAACACAGAAAGTATAAAAAAAATTTTAAATTTTTTTGGGGGTAGGGGACAGTAAAAGAGGGAGGGGGAGGGAGGGGGAGGGAGGGAGAGAGAGGGAGGGAGGTGTTATGCGAAATTAACTGCAGAACGATAATTAATTGCACACAAGAATCCCAATGATTTGTCTGCTTAACATGTGAGAAAAAGAACATGCCAGCTGACCATTATTAACGGCAAAAGATCTAGCAAATGTTTCAACACTTGTAAACAAATAATTAACGACAGTTTCGAATGAATGCAGTCGTCACAACAGTCAAATGAGATGAGAGATCAATACCAATACCAATGCTCTCGTTCCCATATCGCACACCACACCCACCACACCCACACCACCACACCCACACCACCACACCCACACACCCACACACCCACACACCCACACCACACATATATACACATATATACCAACATCTACCCCCTCCCCGAATCACAATAATGCCTATTGTTACCATGTGAAACAGCCTTCCCTGAACACATGCATTTGCCTTAATATCCTACGATTACGCGAGCAATAAAAAGGTAATTAAAAGAAAGAAAACTTTTTCTTGGTGCAAAGTAAAGAGATGCAGAGTGTGCGTGTGAGTGATGGTGTGTGACTGTGTGTGGCGTGTATGTTGTGATAGAGTTTATTGATAACACTATGGTAGCGAATGGAGTGATGCTGGATATAATATATCAATAACTACATAACAGCTATCCAAGGAGAGAGCTGGCTCGTTTGATAGTGTGCATTGCAAATAAATGGACATGTATCACAGCTGGCTTTTTTCTGCATAAAGAAGGATGCGAGTATTTGTTTCTATATTAATTACATATTCCCCGAGTTTCCATTTATTGATACTTATTTTATTATTTTAGTGCATCCGTAAACATACCTGTTTATTATTATTAAACCCATCAACACATTTATACTATTGGTTCTATTTGATTCATTCTCCACTTTCAAATCACAGGTGATACGAACTATTCAAGCTTCTAAATATGGTAATTCGGGAAAGGAGAAAAAGGTATCCACGCCACTTTTTTTTTTTTTTTTTTTTTTTTTACGTTGTGCGAAATGTACAAAGAGTGTTATGAATATAACCTTAGCAGAATAATATTATTCCCGTGAATATCTTCTAAATATGTTAAACACGTTATTATCATCATTTCTACTTTCCCAACATAGTCCAGTCGAATACAACCCAATCCATCCAATCCAGCGAATACAACCGAATACAACACAATCCAAACACCCGACCCTTAAAATTTTTTTCATTCTCATCGATTATATATTTTTTATTTCGTTATTGCCTCTTTTGCGTGATTAATCGAGTCAAGACGAAGTAGATTATTACTAAACAGTGATTTAGTCTATTAATCTATTTTCCTACGAGTTAATAAAGACAAACTAGTCTACTTGGAAACATATAAGATTTGCATAGAGAACGTACATAATTATTATAAATACATAGGAATGTAACCATATTTACATAGATTATTAGTTGTGGGATTTGATCATCGAATGTTTAAAAGAAAATGAATATGATGAAAAGTCTATATTTACAAAGTCCGATTGGGAGCCGAAATGTCTATTTGAATAGTCATACAGAAGATTGGTTGGTCGATTGACCCTTCTGAATAGTTCTTTTTTTGTGAAATGGGAAATAAATATACCCAATTAATGCCAACTCTCACTCTCACGGCCGAAAAAGAGTTCTCTCTCTCTCTCTCTCTTTTTCTGCTGATTATATATTTATATCCCTCTGTTCGCCTTCTCCCAGTCAGCTGGACATTGAAATACAAACTCTTTCCAATTCCTTTCGCACCGTAATTTGATTAGCAGGCTTGCCAACCCATCCATTCATGCCCGCCTCAAAGTATTTACTGTCGCATGGATTTGTTGTGTAGGCGATGATGGGTATGGTCCGGTTAGCTTCTAGTACCATGCTTCCTTTCGAATGTATTGCTATCGTTGTCTCTATTCCACTCAATTCGGGCATATCGATATCCATGAATATTACGTCGAATACTTCTTGTGATAATTTCACTAATGCTTCTTTCCCGCTGACTGCACACGTTGTCGAATAACCGAATTCTTTCGACAAGATTTTGCAAAGT